GAAACAAATACTTTAATTTGTCTTTTAATGATAATACAACACGTTTTCTTTTTGATGACATATCGGCAATATTAAAAATAAATACTGTATTTAAATCATGATCAAATTTTCAAGAAACAAATGTTTGTATTGAATTTGTACTACTACTGACCAGCACTAACAGACTACCTATTGTTTAAAAGGCCCTCTGGTGGCGCAAGAAGACGGATTTTATAAAATAAAAAGCAGTTGAAACTGAATTTTTATGAATAAAAATTTGACAAACTATTTATTGTTTTATGATAAGTAAAATTTTTTCATCGCATTCGCGGCTTTCAAGTTATGCATAAACCTTTGAGGTGCGAGGCCCTTCAGACCACGAGGCATAGGTGGTGGCCCACGTCATCCATGTCTTATGTTGCCCTTGGTCATAGAAATGATGTAATTGAAATGAAAAAAGTTATGCATTCCATCACATACATAAACAGTGTCGGAATTCGCCAAGTGCAAATCAGCAAATCCGTAAATTTATTTATTTATTTTAATAGAGATCTGGATAATAGAGGTTCTACTGTATATATATATATAAAGTGAAAAATATTCATATTCATCTTATCAATTTATAATTTAATGATATCCCATGTTTTATATTGAGGGTGAGAGGTAACAATTAAATTTGGCATTTCATAAAATGTCAAAAAATTAGGAACCAAAATGTCCACTATCAGTACTAATCACATTTGATTATTGCTGCTACAATTTCAAAAATATTTATAATTTACTTTTTATTCTTAATATAACTTATTATTCTTAATGTTTAATAAAAAATAAATTATAAATCATAAAAACAACTACAGTAGAGCGTCGTTTATCCGAATCAATTGGGGACTGGGGTTGTTCGGATAACTTATTTTTCGGATAACCAATTATGTACGAAAAAATATATTAATTTATCCCGTGTTGAAATTTTTCTCCGTTGCGTGTCGCTTCGCGTTGAATTTTCGTCGATGTTAAGCCTAACGAAGACTATTGTATCGTTAAAAATTATTTTTTTATTTTGTACAAACAAAATAAATATATTGAAAAATATAAAAACAATAAAAAATTATACTTCAGAAGTTAATTTAGTATCAAAAACGTAAAATATTTCAGTAGCCGAAGACATAGCCAAAGATTACAGCGCCACAGCACTGGCGAAAATTTAAATTTGTCGACTGGAATTCCTTCGGATAACCGACGTTTCGGATAACCGGCCTTCGGATAAACGACGCTCTACTGTATATATAAAATCAGTTCATATTTATTTCGAAGTACAAAAAATTACCTTCTGCAAAAGTCATGACATCTTCTGGAGATGCAAAGCAGTTGAAAGCATCCTAATTAACAATAAAAGTTATAAATTCACAATTTAAAGAAGTACTAAATTTTTCAAAAATTTTATAAAATATTTTTAATCAATCAATTAATTAATATTACTTTTAATATAATCAATTAAACATATTAAGCATATTTAAAAATAAAATCACTTACTTGATCATGAGAGCAGAGATATTGCGGAGTAAGTTTGAATACAGGAACACAAACAATTAACTAAAATAAATTTTAAAATATTTATCTAAAAATTGTTATAATATTCTGACTATATTAATTTATTTGAATTCAATTTACTCTTTTAATAAAAAAAGTATCATAACTTACTGGTACGGAATAATGTTTAGCTGCCAAAGCCAATGCATGGGAACCACTAAATGCTTTCAATCTATTAAATAAAAAAATGTATTAAGTTTTTAAAAACTATATATATTGATACAGATTTATTGAATATATTAAAAAACTATTACATTAATTAATATTCAAATAGCTTATAAATAATCAAATAACTTAACAATAAGCTCTAGTTGATGCTCTAGTCCATTAAAACTAAGTTTTATTAGATTTCAACAATGTGGATTTACTGAATTATAAAATAATTTTTAAAAAACCTTTTTACTTTTCTAAAAAAAATTTATTAATGTACAAAACTTAAAAATATACAGACAGTAAAACTTTTCAACATCAAACTGTATTAACTCAAAGTTGTCAATAGGTGTAAATGCAGATGCTTAAGATAAACAAACACAATGGCTCCATAAAAACACAAAATCACACCATTAAAACTTTGACATTTTTTACTGATATAGTATGTTATTGGCATTACAATTAGGACATAAGGCCTTGACAATGTTCACAAAAGTATTATTAACTATATACAATTATGTAATCATTCTGTGAACAGATTCTTGAGAAATAGTTTGATAATGAAAATTTATGGGCATAGAAAAATTACAGGAAATTCAGTATTAAACTCATTAACTTAAAACTGGGCTTTCTTTCCACTATTTACATTTTGACTTAATGAGTAATGAGGTTTTACTGTATATATACAGTAAAACCTCATTAAGTCATATAAATATGAAAGAAAATGCTTAATAAATGACTTATTTTTTAAGTTTAAATGTTTTCATTAATTCTAGATTGTTTTCCACTTGAATATATATAACTGAATGACTGAAATTTGTAATTTATAAATTAAAAAATTCTATAAAAATATCAATAAGAACCTGTACATACTTCTAGATATATTCAAAATATTTTTCTTACCCTCCATTTGCCATAACACTGTGAGTTCCAAGAATTACTTTATTTACTCTTGACATAATTGAAAATATTGATGAATCAGGTATAACTGTAGTTTCAATTCCATTTAATGCTAAACTTTTTGCCATTTCTTGACCCTATAAAAAAATTATTCATTACAAAACAAAACAGTTACATTAAATATTATTTGAAAGCTAAACTTAATTGGATTAACTAAAAATATATTAAGATCAAAAGCGAGCTCTCAGATTTTTTCATATAAAAAACATATTTTATTAAATACTAAAATGAATAATGAATTAAAGTAATGCTAAACATTGGGTACTTGTAAATGGTACCTGGGTAATTAGGTATCCATTTAAAAGATGCTGTTTTTAATTAAATTTTCTTTCAGATAAATTAGACCAGATTTGCAAACTAACCTTTTTAATTTGTTAAAATTGTTAATTTCAAAAAAAAAAAAAAAAAATATCTTTTTAGAATCTCTGAATTATTAAGATTTATAAGCTGTTTAATTATATAAAAATTATTTATCCTGTTATTAATCTGATCTGCAAACTTATGTATGCAGATTACAACTATGGCATTTACCATTAATTTAAATGGAAACATTCAATTAAATTATACATAACTTACAAAATGTGCATTTTTCTGAATGCAAATCTGATATATAATAAGAACATGTGCTGTAAATAATTTCCTCTTTGTGCTGTTAATCTACAGTGTATATCAACTTTTGTGCATGGCAGTGAAAATTGCATAAAAAAAATAAATGTAGCAAGTGTAATGTTAAAAACAAAAATTCTAAAAAAGTAGAATATACATAGAGAAATGGAAACAAAAAAAGATATCCTGTAAGAGATAAATGCAAAGACAATTAGATGATGAATGAAAGATAATGAGTCACACTTGAAATGGAGAAATGAATATAAGAGCAGCTGTTGGAAATCAATTGTGAAAACAATTTGTAAAAAAAATATTCAAATATAGTATATTAACTAGAATTGTAATACCTGAAAACACATCTAAATACTTGAGATAATATGAAAAAAAAAAATAATAATGATGACATTAATTGTTTTAAAAAATTTATTTTTAACTATTGTATTTACTTGAATATAATTAGATGCCACTAAATCAAAGACAAACCTTAATTTCTAACTGGTCACCCATAGACTTTTCCTTTGAAAAAATAGACCACTTGAGTGAGATAAATTAATGGCAAAAGAACCAATTTTGTTGATGTAGATTTCTTCAGTATTTATTGCACAGTAAAGGAAGTTATACTTTTCCTCTTGACCTAGAAGTTCATGCACCCATCCCAGGAAATGCTTTGAACATTTATGTGTCATTATTGAGGATGTGGAGATGATACTAATCAGAAAGAGAAAAATTTTATATTGGTTTTACAAAAAAAAAGTGAAATGAAATTCAAGAATTATTACAGAGGTCACATGAAAATATTTCATACATAGTAAAAGTACTGGCCTTAACCTTTGAACAGTGGACTAGTCAGATATGGTTCTACCCCCAGTAGTGGAAAATAAACATGGGAAATTTTTAAAGTATTCTTCTATGCGTTTTTCTCATTACTGTTTCGGAAAAAGATTTTGTAAACAGTTATGTCTAGAAAAGAAAACTCTGTTTTTACTGTTACATAATTCATTTTTTAGATGAATTTTTTTTTGTGGTAGTTTTAGGCTAGTTTTTGGTGGTACCCCCCCAAAAGAATTTGACAACTATAGTCATCCCTCATCTCTGCCACACAATTGCCCTTAATGACTATAGTCATCGCTCACTGCTGAGTGGTTAAAGTTCATGAATCGTGACCCTTCTGTCAAACCCTGTAATTTTCTACCAGTATAATCTGCTTCACACTGCAGCAAATGAGTATACTGGCAAAAGATCCAAACATCAATGGTTTGTACTGACAAACATGTAAAACCTTTTGCTATATACTGATATCAGAGGAAAGATTCTCGAAAAACATTTAGCAGGTATCTTGATAAGAGAAATTGGAAGAAACCTCTCCACCTCAAATCCTTAGTCTGGTCCTTCCTTAAGCACTACAACTCTATCTAATCCATTGTGCTGAAGAGAAGATTTGAAAGGCAAAAGGCTATCAGCTAGAGAAGATCTTATGTTTATCTGAGAAACCAAGGCTCAGTGACCATGAACATACACAGAGAATGCTATGGGAAGAATAGATTGGTAAGCCAGTTTTGATCAAAATGACCACTAAAAGGACAAGAGAAGGACTATAGATTGTACAAAGCCACATGTAAGCCCCCCGCTAATGAAACAAGAGAAGATATGGTACCAGTGGGCTAAGATCAAATCAGACAAATTGGACAAATCAGAATTAACATCAAATAATATGATCTAATGAGTTGCCTTTTGAGGTCATATATGGAAATACTGGATGTAGGATCATCAGAATAACAAACAAAAGTCTGAAGAAAAACTGCATCAAGCAGCAAGTTAAATTTCCACTGAAGATGTAAATATGAAAACGTTTCAACAATGCTGGCTTAGATGAGATGGTTCTGAATTTATGAATTAGCATTAAAGGCAGTTGACTAGCAGAGTGTTAAATGACACCCTTCTCCTGTCTCTTGGCTTCTAAAGGTGACTTCCTGTTTCAATAGAATGGTGCCAAAGTCCATACTATGGTTTCCATTGTTGCATGGTTAAGAAACCATAACATCTACGTTATTGATTGGCCACTCAATTCTCCAGACATGAACCCTATAGATTTATGGCTATTTCACAAATAACTAGTCTGCACAAAAAAAAGTCAAGAAATAAAATTCAATTGACAACCATTTTAACAGATGATGGCTGCAAATCCCCACAAAATGTGTACCAGTATTTCATCTCTACTAGCCCTTATCATATTGGAGACTTATTCTGCAAAATAAGGGATTACAAAATGATAATGAAGTTAAGAAAGCCTCAAGAACCATTTTGCATGAACTTCAAAGACAGTGAATTTTCCCAGATCATTGTTGTTTTACAGCTATGGTCATTTGTACAAGATTTATTTCAAACTTCGTTTTCTATGAGTTAGGAATAAAAGATTTTCTTTCTATAATTTATCAGTTATTTTCTGAACATGAATAACTTACAGATTTAACTGCTCAACAAATTTTCGGTTTATTTGCTCAAACTTCTAAGTCAGGGTAAGGTATATCACTGTCTTTCAAGATATTGAAGTTGTAAACCTCTTCATTTTCTATATTAGGCTCATCTGAATCAGTACTGGATTTGATGCTCATTTCTTTTCATGTGCAGTTATTTTCAGTGCATTTGAAGCATCAGAAATGCCACATTTCTTGAGTGTTGCACACTTTCTGGATTTCCATCCCAGAAGTAATGCTACTGTAATAGACTAACATGGCTAAGATGACCTATTAAATATTTACTGTTACAAATATTGGCCTAATGAAATCATTGAAATGACAAAATGAAATTAGTGGTGAAGAAATAAGGTGCATGGCACTAGAGGTTGTTAATTATGATGTGTTACATTGAATTTAAGATGCCCCCTATCTTCAGAAGTACTAAAACCTGAAAAAAATTGCATCTTACATTCAAAGTAAATATAGTAATGAGCATATGAAAATATAGATAACTCTATTCTGATTTTCTCAGATTAATAACAATCTTATTCCATGCAAATTTTAAAAATGGAAATTAAACTGCATGCTATAAGTATTTAAAACAGATATATTCTGATATTATATTCAAATTATATTAAAAATTCAAACAAAAATGTCCTAAATATGAATATTTTTAGTTAAAACATGTTAACAGTGAAAATTTACAACATACATTATAAATAAATTAAAACTTACATTATAGAAAGGAGCACTTTCTGCTACAATGACTTGAAATTTTCTTTTCTTTGCTGCTGTCTAGAAATCACATTAAAAATTCATTAATTTAATGTAAAATAAGTAAACTGTAAACAATAATGAATATTTTATTCTTACTCTCAAAAATGATTCTACACTTCTTGATTTTCCAGCAGTCATAATTAGTTCATCAGAATGAATGTGCTCTAAAGCCTGAGCCACAATATTATCTGCACTAAAATTTTAAATATAAAGAAAAATATATTTTACGTAATTCCTAATGTAATTTTATAAATTTTATAAATTTTGTTAAAAAAAGTATTTTACTAACCTCGTATCTATTTCTCTAGAAAGTTCATCAATGCCTTCAACAATCTGTTCCTAAATACATTTGAAATAATAAAAAAATGTAAATTTCTCAAAGATTGAAAAAATACTTATTTTTATATAAAAATAATTAATGTTATGTAATTATAAATATTCTCACAATAAATAAATTTTGACTTATTAAATAAATTAAATATTATTATATTAAAAATTATTAAAATCAAATATTTCAATGTTAATAAAAAAAATTATCAAATTTTACATATTTTATATTGTTTCTAAGAAAAAATAACAGAAATTACTAAATGATGCTGATTGAATATATAGACATGTTTAGGCTCCTTATCACAATAATCTTTTAAATTATTTCTCAGTCATTAATAATTTCCTGCTGTAGAAACATTTACTGAAATTTATATTTCTATTTCATCTATTTTAAATTAATTTAACATATTCTAAATTTTTGTAAATCTGGAATAATTACATTTTAAAATTTCCATACATAACTTAGTCTATTCCTACTTACTTAATGTATTTCTTCATTTAAACTTACAGTTACTAAAAACTGATTAATCAACTTTACTGCTCTAATTGTTAAAGTAATCAATGATAAATTCATTATTATTTTTAACTGAAATTGTAAATGTATTCTGTGCAACCACCATAAAGCAAATTATGGGTTTTGTTCCACATGCAGTGCATATAAAAACTTATACACTGTAATTTATTAAGAGCACAGTATCACAGTAAAAATAGATGCAAAGATAAAAATAATATAAAAAAACTCCAAAAGTTCATTTAACAGCTGGAAACCACCAACAATAATAAACATGAATAGCATTCTTTTAGCTAAGCATTCTATAAAGCAAGTTTGCTTATATGTGATAAATAATAATCACCAATTTTTAAATAAAGTAAGAAGCACACCTTATATAACTCCAGCAATATATTAAAATAACATTTTAAATAAAATAAAAAATGCATTAATTTAAAACTTAAAATTAAACAATAAAAATAACTTAAAAATAAAAAAAATGTACGAGTAGAAATAATTATAGTAACATAAAAAAAGTTAGAGTCCATAAATAGATTTCCAACATCTCCAAGTACTTCAGTGAACTAAGGCTCCTGAAAAGCCTAAAGATAATTTTTGTTCTTCTAAGACCCATATTAATAGGTCGAAACCTATATATATTGCTGAAATTATATAAGATGTGCTTCTTATTTTATTTATAATCTCCAATTTCTGATATTTTTAGAATTTTAATACTTGATGTCTTTGAGAAAATATACTGTAATTAAAATTTTTTTTTGATATTATCAATAATATTGAGCTCAGCACATATTGATATTGCTTTTTATAATTTCGCTCTGTATCTCATGTTTTTTAATAACTATTTTTTATGTATCATCAATGAATCCTATTTTATATTGTCAATGAATTTTATATCTACATCTATATTAAATGACAATATATAAAAAAAATCTTTATAAATCTTGAAAAGTATACCATTGAAATTCTTTTTATTAAAACTAAATCAAGTATCTAAAGATATGCAAAAAATAATTAACTCAGAATTGATTCCATATCAATTTGAAATTAACTGAATTATAAGTTATAAGAGTGATATTTAATCAATTTAATTTTAATATTATAGGCCTAATTATCTATTTAATGTAAACAATTCTTCGCATCATAAATACTTCTTATTGAATGCAATTTAAAGTTTGAAATAATTTTTTACGCATAAAACTTCACATTGCAATATAACAATATTTTACAGACACCTACAACAGTAAATTTTTAAAAATAGATTATATCATGATTTCAAACTTCAATACAACATACAATTGAAAATATTTATTTAGTATTGTTCTTTATACTAGGGTGCTTCATCTATGTTTTGTAATTTTGTAACAAGTTATCAACTTCTGATGCTGCTGTTTCTATTATTATTTTTTCTTTCATAATGAAAAAATGTTCATGATGATTTCAAGCCAAGTATTTTATATATGTATAGAATAGATTTAATTGATACAAAATATGATGATAATTTTGGAATCATTATTGAATAACTTATATTATTTTTAAAAAATTTGTCAGATTAATATAAGTTGCAGTACGATTACATAACTTTTCAAACAAATAATTAAATAACTATTATTTAAATAAAAATTAAAACTGGCTGACAATATTTACATTTTAAAAAATATAAAAATATCACAAATATACAAAAAAAACTTTGTTTTTGTTTTCCACTTCTGTCATTTCAACACACCAGTAACAGTCCAAAAACAATTTTCCCATACAGAAATTTCCAATTTGCAATAAAAGATCATCACCATATGCGAAAATAGTTTCTGGACTGTCATTGGTGTGTTGAAACGATGGAAGAGGAAGTTTCTTGTAAATTGATGATATTTTTACATTTTTTAAACTATCATTCAAACTGTAATAAATATTGAATAGATCTGAATAAAATTTTTTGGATCACATATCTATGACATTGGTTTTATTATTTTTTGTGTAAGTAACACAAAGCACTGTTAACATGTACCTAATATTAGTAATGTTTTATGGGGGTTTTTGAAAAAATAATTACTTTCAGATTTGGTAAAATATCTCCATAGTCATCTGTCTGTCCTTCTGCTAACCACATATTTTGTAATGATTCCTGTAAATCTCCTTCAGCATGTTTTCCCCTTAATCTATAAATTATTAATTTCAAGTTTTATTCATACAAATATTTAATTTTCAATATTTAACAAAAAATATTCATAGCTTAAACTTACATTAAATATTCATCTCTAATTATTTTCAACACTAAGAAAAAAATATAACAAATTTAATATATTTCAGAAAAATTTTAATCATATTTTAAAATATTATTTCAAATTTATAAATTTTCCCATCATATGAGTAGCAATTATATTAAATTTTATATCTATGAAAATAATTAAATGATAAAGCCAGATTCTTATCAGGCTCCAATATGAATAATTAATTACTAAGATACTAAGCAATTTTGATTACAGGTGAATGGTTAAACTGCCATTTTGTGTTAAATTTAATTTAGAAAGACTGATCCAGACTGAGCTCAAATCTGCAACTCCTGCTGCTGCTTACTGCATTACCAGTTTCACTACCTGGATCTCCATCCAATTTTTTTCTCCCAAAATATTTTAAATTAAATTATTTCTAACTAGCAGGTGGGCCCGGCGTTGCTCGGGCAAAAGTAACGATAACTAAGATAAAGATTATTACGTTACAGTCAACCTTACCTGTTTTCACAGAATGCAAGAATTGGGTCCCCTTGTTTCCAGACTAATTAGAGAATTTTTAGATGGGTCTAAAAATATGTTCGATTTCNAAAATAAAAGCATCTTAATTTAATCCAAAGATGCATTTTAATATATATAAACGACAGCATTAGTTAGACATTAAACATTTTCAAAACAATTAATAGTTTAAATTAATGTTGAAATAAAAACACTGTAGAATTTAAAGTTACATATTTTTTAATTGAGTATTAGTACTGAAAATACAAGATTGAGAATATTTAAATACAGTAATACCTTGATTTATGCTACCCCGACTTACGTGAACCCAGAGTTACGCGATTTTCAAATCTCGTCAATTCCTGTTTTGTTGAGCGCCACGCAACTCTCGATTACTCACTCCCCCCACATTATTGTTCGGCTTACATGTTCCGACACGTGTCGCATGGAATCGACATATAACTACAATTTATTTTGTGTTATTTATTTCTGTGTTTGTTATATCTACTAAGACTCGAGAGACTCTACTATGTCATCCAAATGAAGTAGAACTGATTATTCTGCATCAAACAAGAAAAAACTTTATCTTTGGAATGTAAAGTTAACATTATTAACTTCGATACAAAAATGAAAATTTGTGAATTGGCAAAGAAGTTTGATCTACCGGAATCGACGGTCAGAACAATTATAAAAGGTAAAGATAAAACTCTCGAAGCTGCGAAAAATGCTCAATCTTTAAATTCAAGCATCATTTGTAAATGTCACGGTGTTATCGCTGAGATGGAAACAGTGTTAAAATTATGGTGTGATAATCAAGTAAATCTGAAAAATTGTATAATAATATAATTTGTTATACATATGCATTATCTAAGATTTTATTAAACATTTTTTTCTAAATTATTGTTTTCTTTAGTCTCCGGCCCCAATTAAAAATTATTTGTATGTATTTATATGCGAAATTATACCCCGACTTACGCGAATT